TAAGTGCTGCCCCTCCATTCTGGAAACACTATCGAGGCATTATCGTACGTGGGTAGGTATTTATCGGCTGGCTGAGTAATGCGGGGTGTCCGTCCCTAAATCGGCCCGCCGCCGCCTCGTCCCCATGCAAGATTTGGAATCTGCAGTGTCTTGGGGCGCAGGTCGGGGGTCTTTTGGGTAGTGGAATCAGATTTTCTCGAATCACGTACAGATCTGCCCTCTTCTATCCGCCCGCCCTAGGTCACCTACATTGTACCTAGCTGACATACATAGTGCACTCACTACCGGCCTTTGCTTGCTGTAGGTACTGGAAGCCAAAGCCGAAAACCACCTGTACTTTACCTCTCAACGTACCCGTAGACGCTATGTACGACTCTTTTAGATGACACTACAGTACTACGTACCCAGACCCTACATCTGATATCCACCAGCCAGGCTATCCCCATCTTTGTCATCCTTGACGCTCCCGAGAAGATTCCATCCATCGCCGCCAGTCCTGCTGTCTCGTCTGTTTCTATAGATTATAGACCGTCTGTCTCCTGCCCTCCATTTTCCCTCCTTCTTTCCCCCCCTTTTGATCCTCATTCTTCATACAACCGCCAAACTGTTTTCCTCAGCCTTTAGACGAACTCTTCGCGCAGGCGCATCTGGTGTTTCCGTTGCCGCCTTGTCTACCGCCGGACTTCAACTCAAACCCGCACCCTCAACACAGATTCCCAAGATTCCTACAAGAAATATGCACAGCAAGGTTGTCATCATTGGCTCCGGGCCTGCCGCCCACACGGCCGCCGTCTATCTGGCCCGTGCCGAGCTCAAGCCCGTCCTGTACGAGGGTTTCATGGCCAACGGCATTGCTGCTGGTGGCCAGCTCACCACCACCACCGACATTGAGAACTTTCCCGGTTTCCCCAAGGGTATCATGGGCGGAGAACTCATGGTGAGTCGTCCCCTCACTTATTTCTTTCGGCTTGCCCCGAACCAATTGGCTGTTTCCTGCTGGTGGCGGCAGCAGCCATGATCGTGACCATGTTTGCTGACCCAGCATTCTCTTGAACAGGAGGCTATGAAGCAACAATCCGAGCGATTCGGCACCCAGATCATTTCAGAGACCGTCGCCAAGCTCGACGTTTCCTCGCGGCCCTTCAAGTACGAAACCGAGTGGGCACCCGGTACCGTCCACACTGCCGATGCCATCATTCTGGCCACTGGCGCGTCCGCAAAGAGGCTTGGACTTGCCGGTGAGGATAAGTACTGGCAGAACGGTATCAGCGCCTGTGCCGTCTGCGACGGAGCCGTGCCCATCTTCCGTAACAAGCCATTGGTCGTCATTGGCGGCGGAGACAGTGCCGCTGAGGAGGCTACTTTCCTGACCAAATACGGTAGCCACGTTACCGTCCTGGTGCGCAAGGACCAGCTGAGAGCCAGCAGCATCATGGCTCAGCGCCTTTTGGAGCACCCCAAGGTCACTGTCCGCTTCAACACCGAGGGTGTCGAGGTCAAGGGTGACGACAAGGGCCTGATGAGCCACCTGGTTATCAAGAACAACAAGACGGGCGAGCAAGAGACCATTGAGGCCAACGGTCTGTTCTACGCTGTTGGTCACGACCCTGCCACCTCCCTGGTCAAGGGCCAGCTCGAGACTGATGCCGAGGGCTACGTCGTGACCAAGCCCGGTACGCCGCTCACCAGCGTCGAGGGTGTCTTTGCTGCCGGCGACGTGCAGGACAAGAGATACCGACAGGCCATTACCAGTGCAGGTAAGTTTGACACTAATGAGCCTTCTCATTCTTTTCATATTCTACCCGATTCAGAATAAGGGTTACTGACTTGTTATTGTCGTGTAGGATCGGGATGTATGGCTGCACTTGACGCCGAGAAGTACCTGTCCGAGTTGGAAGTTGATGGCCGCGAGGGCGCTGCCAAGGGCAGCTTGTAAGCATTGAAGTTTCTGCTAAACATATTGCATGTCCATAAATCGAGGGGCGAGGCTGAATCTTCGAGACATAACTGATGAAGGCTAAAGAGCGACATAGATCTGCTTTTGCATAGACCATATATACCAAATACCAAATCAGTGAAACTAGCATCTCATATTGTCTCTTGGCCTTTTCGTGATCAAATGGTGCGGGAGGATATCTAAGCGGCCAGCGTGAACTGTCATGTGGGAGATAGCACTTCCCATTATACGAAGTTACATTTCTACGGCAAGTGTCTAATTGGATACCTTGCATGTAAGTCCACGTACTCCATCCACCAACCCACCCTTCAGGTCCTGACTGCCATGGTGTGTTGAAGCAACAAACGAGGACCTGTCTGCAACCTTGACCAAGGACAATTCCAACTCCTACAATCAAGACCGTGGATGCTACCGTAGAGGTCGGGATGATCGAGTTTGGACAGGTAGGTCTCAATAGCCAAAAAGTCTCTCGAAAGTGTAAAACCTTGGATAGGTAGGTACGGCGAGGCGAAACGCACTGCCCCTGGTCAAGTTTATGCTAGCTCAAAATGATGCAAACGGTCCATTGCCACTTTTCATCTTCACCGGTTAGTCAGCGACCATCTTGTTGCATATGACATCCAGAGAAGAAAATAATTGCTTTTCATTCTGCACATGCGTGTACAACTGGTGCAACCCCCCACGAGGAAAAAAAACACCCCACGGCCCATCAGTGTCATTTCTTCTTCTCCTTGCTTTCCCCAAGCTTCATGTACAGAATAGGTTCAGTGCGTAGACATTATATATGTAATCACTGCGCAACATGTGAGTTTGTATCGACGCTTGGCTGTTTCCGGCATCGTCAGAACCTCAAAAAAGTGAGCAAGGTTAAGCTGGTCATGTTGGCGGGTGCTTGCCGCAACAACCCCTCATTTCTCCATGATAAGCCAAGAAGAAGCAAGAAGGCATCTGGGAAGAGGTCCCACTTGCTTGCTGTTTGACTAAAAACCGGCAAATGTAGGTAGGTTACCTAGGTATGTAGGTAGGTACGTATGTAGGTGGGTTCGTATGCTTGGTATAAATAATACCAGTTCTGTCAATCGTGCCGAAGCTTCGTCATTTTCCCTTTTCTTCCACCCCCAGACAACTAAGCAACTCCCAACAACGTTCAGCCACCTGCTTCTGTGTCATCTGTCCTAGTGATCATCAATTCTCAAGAAGTAACCCCCATACAGATCTTCATACTCAATCCAATTGAATCTCTCAACATGCCTAGCGGCAACAGCAACAACGGTTACTCCTACACTTCCTCGGGCACCAATAGCCAGGTCAGCATTGATTTCCCAATTCCTGACAACCCATGTTGCTTTCCGTAATAAGAGCGCCGTACGTTGAATAGCATGACTGACTCGGCCAATAGGGCAACCACTATTGCTCCCGTGATTATGGTAGCAGCGCCTCGAACTCAAACTCTTACCATTACTCCAACAGGTGAGCGACATGAAAATTTCGAAGTGCCTTTCCCTGTAGATGCTCTTGAAGTGTCAAGAGGTCATCTTCTCCTTGGCATCGGGCTCGGTCATGCAAGACGGCCCTTCTCGGATCAAAAGGTGTCTACTTTCTGAAAGGAAAGAATCGAGGCTGACTAGAATATCCAGCAATGGCTCGTACTACTACTCAAACCCCAACGGTAGTACCTACTACAACAATGGCCAGGGTGGTTCGACCTACACCTCATCCAGCGGCCAGAGCTCATCTCAGGGCTATGGCAAGAAGTAAGGGATGTCCCTGAAGACGAGTGAATGGAACGTCGGTCAGGTTTTGAGCTGCCAGGCTACGCATGCCGTGCCGGCCGGGCAACGTATTTGTGTGATTGAGATCCTTTCAGAAGCTGCCGGCAGGTAGATGGCCTAGGCTACGATGAATAAATGAATGAATGAATACGACCCTATTACTGTTTCACATGATCTATTATCAATCCTCGAATCTGGTTGGTGGCGGCAATATCCTTAGAGCCAGCATTTATATTGAAGAAAAGCCTTCAGATGAGTAAACGAATTGCCCTGTGGACATGTTTCACAAATGGCCCAACAATATCAAGCTACGTGTTGTTTCATTTTTTTCTGGCATCACTTGCATGGGCGGAATAATTATTCGATGTTGGCCAAGTGACATGCATCAAGCCCCGCGTCTATGTCGTGGTGACCGTCCCACTGCGTGGGCAGGTCGTCAGGTACGTGTTTGATGTCTGCTAATGAAGCAAAGATGTTTAATTGTACATCGCATAATGGCATTTCACACAGCATACACTACCAAGGTACCATGTTATTCGTCTGCCGGCAAAGTTCATGTAACAGTATATTGTGTGAAGCGTGCCAGGGTCCTTTATAGTCAAGTGAAGCCCGATGCCGGTCGCCCCGCAGGATCTATATATCTAGCTCAATACTTCAACGGCTACAGTGTAACACCTCGATGGTGCATAGGCTCTGGATGAATGGTCACAGCGAAATCCATATTGGTGGTATTTTCTCGAATGACCTGCAACGGGCTACCATGTATTCATGCCTGCTTTGCCGTCGCTTCCTTGACGGCTAGGCGAAAGTGTTGCCACTGAGGAATTCAAAGTTAGTGGTTGCTCCCCCATAGTAAGAGTTTTAGGGGAAATGTTACGTACGCTGCTTGCACCACCAACAAAACACATGAGCATCCACTGCCACCACAGGTCGGTCAGAAAGTGCACGTTGTGTCTCTTGAGCCTAATGATTGAGAAGAAGGCACATTCAATGCTGTGGAGGCCCCAGAGCACGTAGAACAGCCCATTCTGGACGCGGATGGCGTTGGTGATGGCGGCCGGCCGGCCTGCGAGCAGGTAATCGTAGATGGGCGAGCCCGGCATGAGCACCTCGCGCCGGCAGGACAGGAGCATTATGATGCCAGTGATCCCAAGACCCACCAGCCGCCCACGCGACAGTTTTGGAAATGTCCGGACCTCGACTGGCGCGCTCATCTTTGCTCGGGAGATATCTTGGGAAGAGTTGGTAGGTACACGACCGTATCTATAGGTCTCTGCGCCCTAGGCAGCCCTCTGTCGATGAGCAGTAAAATTGGATATTCCCGGCTCTTCAGTTTTCCTTGAGGCAGTTGCGATGTCGTTTGAATTTTTGTTTTAATCTCAACCAGGAGAAGTGAAGGAGGAACCAAAAAAAAAAAACCCGAGTTAAGCACGCGCCACGACGCTCGACGTTACCTTTAAGTCGGCTCAGCACCCGTGGACTGCTCCCCTGCCAAAGAGGGGCGCGACGCGACCTCCGAGGTCCTCGGCGCAGGCAGGTTTAGCTGCCATATGTGCCATTTTCATTGATTGAAGCTCTTCAGTTCATTCTTGCCGGTGTAAAGTCCCCAGAAAGGATCATGATGATATACTTGTGCGACGAGATACTGGCGACGATCACTGGGAAACATATTCTTATGGTATAGTGAGGTAACCCACCTAGAGACTATCTGCAGGCACTTTTACATACCTAGATAGCAACGGACATTCTTCTAACTCCGTCGTATCCGTACTCACTTTTAGCCCGAAAGCACATTCAGTGTCTTGCACGTACCTAACCTACTGTGTAATGGGTTGGGTAAGGTTTTATCTCCATAAAATCCACAATGGATGGAATAGACTGACCCAATTGCGTTGTCAACTCACCCATCATACTTTGCGACCTTGGCATTCGGCTCACAGGCAACAGGCACTTGACCAAGGCTATTGGGCATGATGGCGGCGTTTGAATTCTTTCTAAAAAGGTGACCTAGTGACAAGAGGAGCACTGTCAAAACGCATACATCAGGGAGATGGGTGCTGTACTCAGGCTCGCTGATTGACAGTACGTACGTAGATAGCCTGCAGAGACGGACAGTCTTATCTGTTGCCGGGTTTCACGGTCGCAATCAGCTATACACAGTAGGGCAAAACGTTCAACCAAAAACTGCCTCTAGTATCATACTACTCGTGCCATCCCATGCCGGATCTGGCTCTCGATAATCAGCACTTGATGAGCCTTATCAGGTATGTCCAACCGCTCATTTGCTGCAGGGCGACAGACTGCAATTAGCATACCCAATTACGTTGTGTTATCGCCGGTTTGGGCCAGTATTGGCACAATCCCTAGTTCACGCAGCGGATCCGATGTCACCCCCGAACTCGGGCGGCACATCGGCTCCGCTTTGCCAGTATCAACCCACGCTTTGGGAAGGGTATACTCGGCATCTCGACAATGATCAACATGTAAGATTTTATTCGTCCTTTCTGCTGCTGCTCCTCTTATTGTATTTATTCTTGTTGCATTCGCTCATTGCAATCTTCTAAACTCGTCTCCCCTATCTCCCAATATATACCCTTTTAACTTTATTCAAAATGACCGACGTTCAGTTGCCAGAGCCTTTTGCAAGCATCCCGAGGGAATCTTTCCTCTTCGGACCATCGCCGATCCAGCACCTGCCCCGTATATCCGAGGCTCTTGGAGGAAAGGTGCAAGTTTACGCAAAGCGTGAGGATTGCAACTCGGGTCTGGCTTATGGAGGAAACAAGACTAGAAAGCTCGAGTAAGATGAGAAAATCTACACTGTCCTAGGGAATGCCCGGGACTGTTTGCTGCCGTTTGTACTAAATTCTTCCATTTCAGGTACCTGGCTTCTGAGGCTGTAGCTCAGGGATGCGATACTCTCGTCAGTATTGGTGGCGTCCAGTCCAACCACACCCGCCAAGTGGCTGCAGTAGCCACCAAGCTGGGGCTGAAGAGCGCCCTGGTCCAGGAGCACTGGGTCGACTGGGAGGACCCAGGATACACCAAGGTCGGCAACATTCAGTTGTCGCGCGTCATGGGCGCTGACTCCCGCCTTGACCCCTCGACATTTGGCATTGAGCACAAGGACACGCTCAAGAACCTGAAGCAGGAGCTGAGCGACGCTGGCCGCAAGCCCTACTACATCCCCGCCGGTGCCTCGGATCATCCTCTGGGCGGCTTGGGCTTTGCCAGGTGGGCATTCGAGGTTGAGCAGCAAGAAAAGGCCCAGGGCGTCTTCTTTGACACAATCATTGTCTGCGCCGTCACCGGTTCGACCATGGCTGGTATGGTGGCTGGCTTCAAGCTAGCCGAGAAGCTCGGCGGGCGCAAGCGCAAGGTCATTGGCATTGACGCCTCCGCAAAGGTTCAACAGACCTTTGACCAGGTCCTACGCATCGCCAAGTTCACTGGTGTAAAGATTGGTCTCAGTGAGGACGACATCACCGAAAAGGACATTATCCTCGACGACAGGTACCATGCCGGTGTGTACGGTATTCCCGACGAGCAGACCATTGAGGCCATCAAGTTCGGTGCCCAGACCGAGGCCTTTATCACAGACCCCGTCTACGAGGGCAAGAGTTTGGCCGGCATGATGGATCTGATTAAGAAGGGCGAGATTCCTGCAGGAAGCAATGTGCTGTACGCTCACCTGGGAGGTCAACTCGCCCTCAATGCCTACTCCACCATTCAGTCATAGAATAAGTAAATAGAAAATGAATACAGCAAAAGAATAAAAATGACTCGAAAATACTGGTAACGTTACTGGAAGTTGTGCTGTACTATCTTGGTTGGTCTTCAAAATTTTGATGCTGCCGTTCATGTTGCAAAAATATGAGTTTCCAATTCTACCAGAGTGTATACAAGAGCGCCAGACCCATTCTCCTTGTAGCTGATTTTAATGGACCATTATGTTCTATGTAGGAATGACAACTCGGCGTCTGTCACCTCCCAACGTCCCATGATGGTAATCTGCAACCTCAGGTCGATATAGGTGCGCTAGAATGGCAAGGGTACCATTCTCGTGGACTTTTCTGCAATCACGCTATTCTCAGTCAGTATCATTGGACGACAAGCAAACTGTGCTTGATTAGCACTAATGCTGGCTTTGACAAAATTCCGTCTTCTGGGATTGATTCTTACCTACCTAGACTCTGTACCTAGCTTACCAATTTCGATTTTTCCCACACCAGCACATTAGGAATACGAATACAAGGCATAGTGCAGAGCCGCCAATGATTGCACCCCATGCTGCACCGTCTAGTCTAGTCCCTGCGCCTCCATCAATGTTTGGCTCGGTTCCAGTCGTGGCGTTGGAGACATCTTCCAGGCGTCTCAGCAGATCCGCATGCAGAGCGTCTAGCATGGGCTTTGTGGTCATGGCAGGTAGACCATGAGTCGCGACGTCCGAGTGATCCATGACAGCAACCGGCGCTGCGGCAAGGAGTTGTATGGGGAGGATGAGAAAGAGGATATACGCGAATGAGGAGAACATTGCGCTTGTGTATGCGGAGCCTGTCGATCTCTGTCTGCGTATGTGTCGAGTCAAGGGTGTTATTCAATATGAAGACAGGGTGACTGGTGTTGAGGCGTTGTTGGCAACGTTTTCGAAATGAATCAGTGATTTTCTTTTGTACCCAGAGAAGTGTTCCATCTGAAACTATTGCATGGTTTCATGTGATGGTGAATCTCATTGTCTGTGGCCACGGCAAACAAAGGCGAGGTTATTAGGGCGTGCCCAGGAACAAATAATGGCATTGTTTGTCTCTTGAGCCTGTTGATTACCCAGTAGGGCCTGATGGCAAGTGAGCAATCTGGCCAAACACGTAAAGATTGCTTAATGATCATGTGTAACATGTGGATTGTGTCTTTGTCAAAGAAGAGTCATTGACAAAGGATGCCGCACGACCTTGTTGAGTGAGCCTTGTTTGCCCTGGCAGATATAAACAAACGTTCGACGAACCGTGGAACAGTATCGAATAATTGAGCATCAATCGAATGAGACAAGGGAAGAGAGAGAGAAGGAGAAGAAGAGGAAACCATCAAGTCAGCACAGGCATCCAAGCAAATTGCAATTAGTACCTCACATTTGACTGGGAACTGTGTACCGTGCTGATCTGATTCATAATGTACTTTCGCGATATTGAGCTCGAGGCTCGAGCTGACATGGCCGATCTTCAACTAGCATTGGCGATCATGATCGTTGTTTTGGTGATTGTAGTAAATTCAGTTGCAACTGTACTTGGTGTTGACGACACATCACATGATTACAGATTGCTAGATCTAGAAAAAGGACTGGAATGGGCTGGTAGGTATACTACTGGTAGACACCCTAAGACGGAATAACTGTTACAAGAATAAACACAATTTCTTGCTTTCCTTTGTTTCTTTTCTTTCTAATGCTCCCTCTTGATTCGAGACTAAACTGTGGTGGATTGGTAGTACTCGTTATTAGCTAGTATCTATCAAGCATGCGACGTAATCTATGGGCCACGCACAACACTGAAGGAAGTACGTACAGAGTCTCAACCCAACCAGACACGCATCTGACGTATTCAGCATAGCGGAATTCATTAGAGACCCAAATAAGAGGCACTAGCTAGGTAAACTCCGGCCAGTAGCCACCCAATCACCCGCGCCATCCGATACCCACTCACCCAGCCCTAAGCGACGACGAGGCCCACGATGGGCACATCCTGGCTCGCCTGGCATGAAAATTTTGCATACGCCCACAAAAGAATCATGTACTGTGATAACAGGCCGCAATCTCAACAAGCCTGGAAGCAATTCCGGGTTTCTCATTGGTCCGTTGGCAGAATTGGCATTGCGTCTGACTACGACCGCTTCTCTTCACGTTCTCGTGAAGGGCTGTAATCAAATGACATCAGGAGATTCTGGGTTCGATCCCCAGGCGGACCTTTATTTTTGGCGCAAACGTAGGTATCGTGATGATTTTTGGTGTTTTTTTTTTGGTTGTTGGGTGGTTGGGTGAGTGAGCGAGTGAGTTGCGGAGTACGGCGACGGCCAGCCGTGCTTTCTCGCTGGGATACTCCGACTCAAGGAGTAGAGCATATATCTGTCGAATGCCATGTCCTGCTACCATTTTTTGGAAAATTATAAGTTCTTTCCGGCCGCCCAAAGAGAGGCACAGACTGTGCGGATGCGACACGGGCACCACAACCTTTTCTCTCCCTCTCTTCCCCCTCCCTCGCGACAGAGCACCTAGCACTCAGAACACTGATCTGCCCTTTCTTATTTCATAGTTTCTACTTGCTGCTAGCTTTCGCTTTGGATATTCGTCTTGGCATTTGGCAGAGCCAGAGTTGGCTCCAGCCGCCTCGATCCTCCAGAGCCTAGTGTCTTTAGAGGAAGTCATCGTCTAGGAGGTTTGAATTGAGAGTCGCACGTGGACTTTCGTTGCACGTATAGTGACCCGGCTCTGCGCAATATGGACTCATGATCGGGCAGTGATCGGCTTCGGCCTGTGCCTCAACTTGACGACACCAAGGCGCCAATGGTGTGTGGATGAACGAGCCCATATGGTTTTTGAGATGCTCTTCCTTATTGTATGTATGTGCCTTTTGTTCCGCGGAAATGGTCTCGTCTTCCAAGCACAAGTGACATTGAGATGGGTTATTCTTCCAGTCACCGTTCTGTGACATGGTCCCATGGAAGATTATCTCCATGAACGCCCGGGCAGCAACTTCGTAGGGTATTTGGGTATGCTCGGTTGCCTCCTCTTGTTCGTCTTCTTCAACGCGCTGCTCAATAGGCTCACCATCAATGACCTGGTGCTCAAGATCTTCTTCTGGGTCTTCACCAGTATCAAATTGTTTGAAAAAGCCGGTGCTGCTGTCCACCAATGGATCGTCCATATCATGAGCAGCTACATCATCCTTCATGGCTTCTCTGGGTCTGCTGAAGTATCTGATCCGTGAAGTTGGATTGACTCAGCTTCTCTACCCGGCGAGCGTGCTCCACGGTACTCATTGACTCTCGCATCTCCTGAATTTCTGTACTAAGGACAGCTTTCTTTGCAGCGTAATGCAAGCGGTTGCGTATAGGCTTTTTCTCATGGTCGGTGCCCGTCATTGGCCCGTGATTGGCAATCAGGGTAGCCAAGGTCGCATTCATCGCCGCTCCATGAAGTCGTATCAGTGCCTCATCACCGGTAATCACAAATGGGTTGTTTGGACAGATTTTGCCATGGCTGGCAAGCAGTATTTGCAGACTGTAACTGCAATTGAACCTGGACGGATCGAGGTAAGTGACACGTCCACTGTTACGCAGTTTTATATTCTGAAAGAGTTATAGGACTTGGTGTACTTCAAGGAAGAGAAATTTCCGAAGCGCTCTTCTTCTGATGCATCGGGAAGCCTGCCTTTCAAGCAACCAAAGGTAATGAAGTCTCTCGAGGCAGCAAGAGTCAAGAAAGCCACAATGGGTGTGTCATCAACTGGTTGAGTATTGCTAGTACGAACTCATGTTCATTCTCAACAGAGCATCGGCACAGAGTCCTATCTTTGGGGCCATCTCGACAAAACATACACAGACACGAAGTACAGTGGGATGTTTTTTTCCCCCCCCTTTTCTTTTGGGGTCATCTATAAAAATAAATAAAGAGTCATGGATAGTTATGTAGTTGCATTTGACCTGCCGACCAACGCGAAGCCTAGGGTCAAGCTATGGGGAGAACCCACCTAGGCTACACCATTGGAAGGTCTGCATTCACGACACCGATAGCAGGTGCTTGATGCATCTTTCCTTCCTTTCTTTCCATCAAGTCGCCTTGACGTCTTCCTGCCTGTTTGCAGTACCTGCCTCCTTCCTTATCTGTGCGTCACTTTCCCCCTCTACCCTCTTCTGATTGCGCTCGTGTATTTGTCCTTTGCTTGTTTTTCCTGTATCAATCGATTTATCGTTAATTATAGCTGTTTCACGGAATCCGAGACTCTACATGCGTTTGCGTGCAACAGCTACTTCAAGTTCACTGTCACCCCAATCAGCAAAAATCCATCCCACCTTTACCCATCATGCCACCGCATCGTGTCGGCGACCGCCGGATAAGCCTTTTTGAGGCGATCAATCGAATAGAAGCTAGCGGTGACGAGTATATTTTCCAACTGATGAAGAAGATTGAACAACATGAAATTGCATCAGCCGGTTTCCGTTGGCATGCGACGCCAACACAGAATAACCAGGACCGCGTCCTCGCACTCTTCGAACGATTTCTGCGTCTAACAGGCGTCATTCCGTCCATGGAGGAAACCAGGAGACTGACACAGAGAGAAAAGGACACGTTGATGTTTCCTATTGACCAACAGAAGCTCTTGGCGCAGCTTCGAGGCTTTATGTTTTTTGTTGCTGACCAAACGGCTGGAAAGTCGGCCGATAATCTTACGTACATGGCCTTGTCCAAATACCGAGCAGCGATGCTATTCTGGATATACCATGTTTACAACAGGCACCAATTGACGCCACCAGCCTGAAGCACTGTGTACAACAAGATCACAGAGTCCCTGCGCTATGCATCCAAAGTGTACGGGTTGACACGGGGCAGCGTAAATCCGAATCGGTCAGAGGTCGGCCTGCCCGAATTGCGCCAACTCATCGATCACGATCTCCTGTCAACTCCACAGATAGCAATAGCAGAAGGCCATCAGCTAGCGTGGTGCCTTATGCGCATTTGTTGCTTGCGACCTGGAAGCATCGGGTGGACCAGCCAGGAGAACAAGAGTGAGAAATTATACCTTACCTGGCGAGGCATTCAAATCACTCGGGGTGAGGAAAAGGGAAGCTTCACAGCCACGGTGACTTTTCGATCATTGAAGACCAACCTCCCAGATATGGAGCGAGCCATGAAAAAGCCAGAGCTACGCCGAATATTAACGGCAAAGGCGCCATCGCCACGGCCACAAAACCACTTGATTTTTTCCATCCCCCACAGGTTGCTAGTGATTGCGTTGCGCCGCGGCATTCTGGTCAACATTGATAGCATTGGCGACTTGATAAACGGCACTATGCATCGGATTCTGGTCAGTGTCTCTGAGTCCTGTTGTTTACATTGGCTAATTAGGGTCCTAGATCAAGAAGGAGGCATGGGACGAGCCCGTTCTACGCGCGGGTAAGGCGCGAGGACTGAATATTAGTCAAGATACCGCATCCGCCCAGTCCCTCTCAGAATATCTAAGAACCCGGGGAGAGTGGCTCGGGTATCCGGAGCCAATCACATATACCTCAATTCGGCGGCGATCAGCAACAGAGCTTACCCTTCAAACCGGTGCCGACGACGACGCTCGCATGATCATGAATCACGACCCTGATTCTCGGGTTCTCGAGAAGTGCTATCTCAACCCAAGTGGTTTTAGTGATATGACTGCTCTCGGACTGGGTGAGCGTGGCACCACAAACGACCAAAGTGAGCGTCTGGCTCGAGAAAACCACAATCTGGCCATCAATGCCATAAGCCATGACCATCAAGGCACTGTGGTAATGAAGAAGTGCGTCTTGATTATCATGGAAGGTTCTGTATACATCCTCTTCATGTCGGAATGCAGACTGCAGAAACAATCCTCTTGCAAGGCAGCGGCGGATGTTGTCGTAGTCGTTCGGATGACGGAAAGGGATCTTGCTGATCCAGCCTCGCACTACATCTCGTTGGATCATCGTGCAAATCTGATCGCGGGTCTCGAAGGCCTCTTCGAGTGCTTCATAACTCAAAAAGTTGGCAAAGCACCAAGTTTGTCGGTCTGAAACGGTCTCCGCTTTCGTTCTGACATCCACATATGCGTGGAGCACGTTGAGAAGCGTGATGTGGTCGGACAGAGGATGGACCCATTGTCTTCGCAACTCGTCTGATGCATACCGATGGGCACTTGGTCGGAGGAATACCGGCCTCTGTGTGCTGCAAATTGCAGCGATGGCACACATTTCTGCTCCACATGACCAGTTGTCATGTCCCTCCATAATGGCGTAAAGCCACATGGCATCGATTGGTAGACGGGATGCGGATCGGCCTCGATCTGTGATTTTCATGGTGCCATCCAGAAAACCTCTGATATAACGGTTAGTATATCCGTACACATGGCATTACGAATTGTTGATTAGGGAACTCACAGGTCTCTCAGGTCCCCAAGAGCACGAAGCATGGTCTCTGGCTGAGGGGCGTCCAGCCAGTTGAAGGCAAATACGTCGTTGTGTCCCAACGACTTGATTGCAAGAACAACGGCCTTGCCTTCGGTTGTGAAGATCTGGGGTCGTGTTGTGTTCAACATGACCTCGTCGTGGAACTCCTCCGTATACACCCGGAAGCAGGTGCCTGCGCTGGTCCGACCTGCTCGACCCGCACGCTGTCCAGCAGCGGCCTTTGAGATTATGCCAGTCTGCAACACGCGAGTCCGGGTACGCGGATTGTATACGCTCTGAATGCAGTAGCCGCAATCAACAACGTAGCTGACATTCTCAATTGTCAGACTGGTCTCCGCAATGTTTGTTGCGATTATGCATTTCCTGCGCTCGGTCTGCACAAGAGCCCGTTGTTGCTCACTTTTCGTGAGCGCACCATACAGCGGCATGACATCGAGGTCTTGGCAGTTGCGGCGCAGGATTGTACACACGCGTTCTATCTCATTCGAGCTCATCATGAAGACGAGGATGTCTCCTCGGGGGTACTCATCATGAATGATTTTCACCGTTCGAACTGTGTCCACGTGATAGTCTGGGGAGGCCTCTTCGAGATATAGGATATCAAGCGTATGGGGTTGGCCGGGGATATGGAGTGTGGGTGCGTTGCCAAAATAGGTGGCGAATTTGGCAGCGTCCATGGTGGCAGACATGATGACTACCTTCAGATCATCTCGCCTCTTGGCCAAAAGTCCGAGAAGAACATCCGTATCGACGGTTCTCTCATGAGCCTCATCAATGATGATGCAGCTGAATTCCGAGAGTGTCGGATCGTTCTTTGCTGCTTGCAACAGGTATCCATCAGTTGTGTAGATGAGTCGCGTGTTGTCGCTGGTCTTTTTGTCATTTTTGACAGCGTATCCGACCTAGATAAAGAGGCGTCAAACGTGATTCTGAAGACAAGGCGAATGGGTATTGATGGAATGTCCAGAGGACTACTCGCCCGCTCCACGATGATTGAAACGGCAAAGAGAGGATGGGATGTGGGTATGAAGGAGAAACAAAAAACGTACCTCTTGTCCAATTGAGACATCCATTTCAACCGCAACTCGGGCGGCGACCTCTTGGGCGGCCAGTCTTCGTGGCTGTGTGCACACAATTTTGAGACCAGACGCCCATTCATCGAACAGGCTGCGATGGGTCTGGACAAGAGCCCGTCGTTATTCACTTTTTATAAGCGCACTATACAACGGCATGGTGTCGAGGCCAACTCTGACGAGGAGTAATACAAAGTCTGTAAATGGACCGAGGGCAAAGAAGGCAATATTTGTGATTGTATGCGGAATGGCTCATTTGCACTTGAGCGTATCATACTTTACTGCAGTACCGGAGCTACAGTCGTGTCGATGCGTCGGCATGAGAATAGAATAATTCGCCCTTAAAACGTTGAGAAATATTGGAGTGAGCGAGCTTTCACGACTTATACTAATGCTATATTTAGCCCTTTTTCTCTTTTTCTCTTTCTCTTTTTCTATCTTTTTCTCTCTCTTTCTCTTTCTCTTTCTCTCTTTCTCTTTTTCTCTTTTTCTCTCTTTCTCTTTTTCTCTTTTTCTCTCTTTCTCTCTTTCTCTTTTCTCTCTTTCTCTTCTTTTTTTTTTCTTCTTTTCTTCTTCTTTCTTTCTTT